CCTTCAAACTATAGACCAATATCGCTCATAAACAGTTTAGCGAAGTTAATAGAAAAACTAGTGAAATATCGACTACAAAACTTTTTACTATCAAAAAATATAATAACAGAAGAACAATTCGGATTCCAACCAAATAAGGGAACCAACGATGCCCTCTTCTCATTCTTATCGAACATGTATGATAACATAAATAAAGGTGAGTGTGCCGCTGCAGTATTTTGCGATTTCTCGAAGGCGTTTGATTGTGTGAACCACGGTATTCTGCTGCAAAAACTGCAAAAACTCGAATTCTATGGAGTCAGAAATGGGAGTTTGAAATGGCTAAAAGCTTATTTAGAACAGCGCAAACAAATCGTTCGACATGGTACGGAGTCTGAAGTAGGACACATACAATATGGCGTCCCTCAGGGCTCGGTTATTGGCCCATTACTTTTCTTACTGTATATTAACGACATCACTAAATTGAACATCTCAGCAAAAATTACCCTCTTTGCAGATGACACCACTGTACTGTGGCACAGTAAAACACCACAGCAACTGTTTAATAAAATAGAAAAGGATATGTGCAAAATAAAACAATGGTGTGACTCAAACTTTCTAGCTCTGAACTTAAATAAAACTAGCATAGTCACTTTCCGCTGCAGTGTTCCTGATATACCAATGTCAAATGAACTAATAACTAATAAATCACAAACGAAATTTCTTGGGTTCGAAATTGACAATAAATTGAAATTTGAATGTCAAATAAAATCTTTGTGTAAAAAACTCGCATCAGGTTGTTACGCAGTTCGTATAATCTCCAATGACTTGGGTAGTTCCACGGCCAGAACAGCTTATTTCGCTCTGATTGAATCCCACATGAGATATGGAATCGCCTTCTGGGGTGTTTGTAGTACCTACTTATTTGATAGTGTGTTTATTCTGCAAAAAAGAGCATTGAGGTATATATATAAAGTGGATCGAAGATTCTCGTGTAGAGAATTATTTAAGCATCATAAAATATTAACAGTAACATCACTTTATATACTTGAGACGGTGAGCCTCATACACAAGAATAGACATACCTTACATAGATCCCTGAATCATCGTGAATCGAGGCAAAGCTCTCTCTTCAGACTACCTATCCCCTCCAGCAATTTAATAAAGGATTCAATCATCTATAATGGGATTAAAATCTACAACCATCTTCCGACAGTTATAAAGGACAGCGCATGCATTAACCGTTTCAGAAAATCGTCCAAAAAACTACTGCTTGAAATGTCACCTTATACCCTTAATGAATATTTTTCCTCCACTTTTGACTAATTATCTTAATAACTGTATGTTTACTACGTGGGCTGCTCATAAAAGCATGTATCCATATAGGAATATAAAACTCATTTGTAGAGTTGTAAAACATGTATAAATCTTAATTTATGTATATTAGTATTAGGATTTAGATATTTTTTTACATAGATGTAATCTAATTGTTTGACCATATCACATTGTATAGCTTTGTCTACGAGAATTATGTTCTTCTGACAATAAAGCATATCTTGATTGATTGATTGATATATATTTTCCGTATTTGCCGTATATTTTTTTCCAAATTTGAATTTTTAGCCCCTCTTCAGCTTACGTCGTTAAGAGATTTTCGACCAATTTTGTTCTACGAATTCAAATTGTACTAAAACGGTGTTTTTCGAAATTTCGTTCCTAAGATGAGCTTCAATGTGATCCACCTACAGTAATCCAGGAAGAGGATTTGAGAATCCTCCATCCCAAATGATCCCAAATGATTAAAATTGGCAAATCCTAATTTGAAAGATTCAGTTGAAAATTTGTGATCGAATTCCAAATTTGATCGATTTCTGAGGTTCAAGATGAAAAGTAATGGAATATTTTTTCATTCTACACAGGTATAGGTATATATGCCAGATATTTCATTTGAAGGAATCAATAGGTTCTGATATTACTTTCTGAATGGAGAGAAGTGTGGAATATCCTCCAAAGTATGGTGGATGTAGTTCACTGTTGGTGCCAGAGGGAGCAGATGTCTGTCAACCCCAGCAAAACTGTGATGATCCCCTCCACCAGAAGGAGAAAGTTGGTTGATCTAACTTCACTTTTCCTGAATGGTGAGGTCCTTCCAGTTGGAACGGAGGTTGAATATCTTGGCATTGTTCTCACTTGGAACGCTCATTTGGAAAAAGTTCTACACAAATACAGACTGTTCCTATGGACATGTCGAAGGATTTGTGGTAAAACTTGGGGTTCAGGTCTCAAACAAATACATTGGATATAGGTATGTGATGCTTGTCAGACCAATGATCGCTTATGGGTTAATTTCTTGGTGGACGGAGGCTTTACAGAAAATGGATCAGGCAAAGCTCTCTGGCTTACAGAGACAGGCTTGTCTGGATATCTGTGGTGCCATCAGTATCATACCGTCAGCGGCCATTGAGATCATTCTAGAAGTACCTTCTCTCCTCATTTTTTTGGAGAGGCTAGATGGACTGCATATAGACTTGTGTACATCGCTAATTGCACAAAGCAATCTAATGCAGAGTACTCTAAATTGCTGGCCGACACTGGGAGTTACAGCATTTTGGAAATAACCTCTGACATTTTGCCTCCAACTGTCAACTACGAACTTCCTTATACAGTACCTTTCCCGAATAGAGAGAATTGGATCGTCCGAGAGACGAAAATTTCAAGAGCAGATAGTTGTTGGTTCACAGATGGATTAAAAACACATTCCGGCTCTGGTTCAGGTGTTTTCAGTTGCAAACCCAGGACAGAGATATCAACCTACCTAGGAACATATACGACTGTATTTCAAGGGGAAATCTATGCTATTGGAGTGTGTACGAAGAGATTGGTAGAATCCAACCTCAAACACAAGTCAATAAAAATTTTCTCGGAAAGTCAAGCTCTTGGCTCCTACCGAGCAACGTCTAAGTTGGTAGCAAATTGCCAACAACGGCTCTCCTCAATGAGAAGACTCAAGAAATTGTCTCTGGTCTGGATTCTTGACCGCACTGGCCTGGAAGGCAATGACGCAATGAGACAAAACCTTCCAGGATTGGCTCACACTAAGGCGTTCATTCATCCTTCGAAGCTTGAAACCAAACAATTGATGAACTACAGTAGGGATGAACTGCGATGTCTAATAGGCCTCCTTACAGGTCACTGTCGTCTAAATCATCATATGCAGATGATGCAGATGCAGATGTTGGAAGACCTGTTTGGGAAATAATGAAACAGCGGAGCATATACTTTGTGCCTGCCCCGCTGCGGACCGAATCAGGTATTTAGAGTTTGATAGAGCCTCACTTCCACCATCTGACCTGAAAAATCTCTCATCATATGAGCTAATCGACTTCGTCGAGAAGCTGAGTTTATTTGGACGAGTTTGAATGGGTGTGAGCCACAATAAACCCTTGCGGATTGCTCTGGAAGAATGGATAGGCCCTCTCATTTTTGACCTAACCTAACCCAACCTACTTCCTAAACATCATTTGTAGCCCTTTCAAATCCTCCTGAAATTCTAATTTGAGTCTTATAATTTCATTGAATTTCGCCCACATACTCAAAGTCAATTATTTTATATTAAGAAAATGTATTGGTTATGCTCACCTTCAAGACAATTTTTGTTTATAAATGAAATTGACTCAACTAAATTCAAAGTCGAACAATTATTTCATTTCTGCCAATGGAAGTGATATATATCACCTTTTTTTTTTCAGAGTATAGCAGAATATGCAGAATTTCTTTCATATCATCGAAACCAGCAGCCCATTTTTGAAAATTCCACATACTATTTCTATAATGCTGATAATTTGACTAAAACAGAAGAAAACCTGACGAGGGAAGCAGAACTGTCTGAAGAGATATTGAAAGTAATTTGTTTTTTCCATTATTCTTTAATCATTAACCTGTATTGAGTGTAACAAATTGAAAGGCAAATTCAGAAACATCAAAGTCAAAGCCTATTAAATTGATGGATGTAGCCGTTACTACGTAAGGGAAATAATGTAATGAAGAAAAGAGAAATGAAACTTTCCTCTGTAACTAACTTTTATTTGTAACTAACGGACATTTTCAAACTTATACAATAAACATTTTTGTATATCTATGTTTATTGTATGAGTCTGAGAATGTCCATATAGGACGAAACTGCAGTAACGTTAGTTACAAATAAAAGTGGTAAAAAACATAAAAAGTTTAATTTCTCTTTTCTTCAAAGCCTATCATAGTAAGAATAATTTTTTTTCAATATCTCAAATTTTTCGCAAAAAAATGACAACTTATGATACATCATTGAAAAGGTAAAATGTGGTTCATTAAAAACAGAAAGAATCGAATATAGCGCCCATAAGAAAAAATAAAGTTGATGATGGTGGCCGGAAGACGAAACGTCGGATAGCAACTCTGAAAACAGCATTATGTAGCAGGGAAGAAGTGGCAATGTGGAAGTGCAATTTATTTTCGAATCCTTTGAAAAATAAAGCCAGACAAAGATAAAAACCATTTTCCGAAATTTCAGTTTTTTCCGGATATCTCCGGATATATTCGGAATTTCAGAACTTTCTCATCGGCATATTATTAGTCAGGTAAATGCGTAACTTTGCTTCAATTCAACCATCTTCGTATCTCTCATAGCTTCCGAGATTCCAATGGTGAGGATCGAATTTGAAACACCCTGTATAGTCAATAAAACTCCGTGATTTTAAGTTTCTGAAATTGGAAGTGACCCGAGAGTGGAAAATATGTGGAAGCTCTCCTATTCACATATCATTCACCTATTCCAAATTTCATTTTGATACACTCAATATTCTAGAAGTTATGGCTCGTCTAATAGATTCGAAAATGTTTCATTGATGTTGGCGGTTTCTTATATATTGAAAAAACGTCTGCTCACTTCAAATATTTGTTAAAAAAAACTTTAGGGTTTATCTTTCTTTTCCGACAAAATAATCGATTCAAAAGTGATTACGTTCCCGTATAATATCTGTACTATCACACCAGCCATACAGAATCCAGATTTTGCAAACACTCTGCTGTGTATCCAGACATTCTGGCATCTTCCAAAAGTTATAGGACATGCGCTCGTTCGCATAGGAAAACTTATTCTCTTTCGAAACTGGTGCCGTTTTGTCGCAAATTCGGAAATCATTATGGGCGATACCGAAAACAAATTGTTATTATTTATCCTAATGGTGTTTTTGTTTGTGAGCAGTGATGGAAATAATGTTGACAAAAAGTTGAAAAGAATGGAGGATGTCAAAAAACTGTAAGTATACCAGTAACAATAATCAAAGTTGTTTTAGGGTAATTTCGTTTATTGTGAAGGGATTGATTCGACTGGGTTTCTGGGTATCACTAAATGATTTCCAGAAAATTTTAATTCATTTCAGAGAAGGTTAAAACCACCAAAACTAAACATTTCGCATTATAGAATCTCATACAGGAACATTTACTCTGTATGGATGTGATTTCAGATGAAAATTTGTCAATCTATTGTTGTTTTTCCACACGAGAACAAAAAAGTCCCCTCTCCACAAGCGATTCTTTTTCCAGGTTAGTAGATTATAGTTTTTCTCATGCTAGGAATCGCACTTCAAAAGTAAAACCTCGTTTATCCATACCTCGCAATTTTTCTTGAATACATCCTGCATGAGGGGACTATCTACTGGCTGAGGTTCAACTATTGGATAACAAAATCAATGCTGTAAAATATTTCATTTTGAATGCGTATTCTTTTTTCTGTATTTTCCTATCACCTAGAGCTGTCACTTGTTTCGAACCCAATTGCTATACATATTACGTCCAATTTCTTTGAGAAACATACTTTCTTATGTAACTGGAATAAAATTTTCTTAATGGACAATATTAAATGAAAATTTTTAGATATGAAAAAAAATTGTACATGCATAATATTTCAACCCAATCAAACACAGTGAACACTAGTGTTTGACTGGGTTGAGAAGTAAAGATTATGTATCAACTGTTAATAGTTATTGTTCTTGAAAGAAATCAATAAATGTATCAAGAATAGTGATATTTTTTGAGTAAGAGTGAAGTAAATTATACAGTGTGTCCGCAAAGTATGGAATAAATTCAATATTTCCAAAACTAAAGGTAATTTTACAAAAACCTGAAACACGTCAATTTCAATTTTAATATTCTATATTTTACAACGAAATTTCATTATATAGGGTGATCCATATTGATGTTATGACGTCATCGGTATTTTTTTTTCAACACCCTGTATTTGGTGTCAGTTTTAGATAATCCAAAACGAGCTGATTCCGAAAAGGTGTGATACTTGGGGTCTAACGGACAGAATTTGAAAGTTGTGCGCTTAGAAAATAAATTTTATTGATATCTGATGAAAGTAGAAATTAATTAATTATTTTATATTTTTTTCTGATTATTAATTTAACAATGGGAAAGTAATCCAGTAATAAATATATGACTTCATTTTGAATGTTCGAACTGTAGTCTTTGCTGTATTTGACAGTAACCTCAACGTTGAATAAATTCTTGTTGAACCTTGGTTATGGTTTTTCGAGAAATATTGTTATTTCTGTTCGAATTATCTCTTTCAATACTTGAATATTTGCTGGTTTCGTTTTATAAACAACATTCTTCAGATGACCCCACATAAAGTAATCCTACGGATTCATGTCTGTCGACCTCGCTGGCCATTCAGTATGTCCACGTCTATCAATCCATCGGTTCGTAAACATTTGATCGAGATACTTTCGAACATCTACAGCATAATGTGGAGGCGCACCATCCCATTGAAACCATAAATTTTCATCAAAATTTCCAGGATTAATTCTACTGGGGAATATATTGATCAGAGTAGGTACAAGATATCTCCTTGAAAACTGAAGGTATGTTGGCCCGTCTAAAGTGATGTCGAAAAAGTAGGGTCCGATGATTCTGTTTCTTACAATGCCAGCCCATACATTTACCTTCTGCGAGTATTGTGTATGATGATCACGCATCCAGTGGGGGTTTTCTTTGGCTCATTACCTACAATTCTGATGGTTGATCCCACCATTTAATGTAAAAGTGGCTTAATCAAAAAAAAAAAAATTACGAGGAGACGGTCTCGGTGACAGTTATCCGTCATGGCTTCACAAAATTCTATTCTTCTATCTGTATCATCCTCGTTCAATTCCTGTAGAAGTTCGATTTTAAAGGGATGCCATTTTTCCAATTTGAATACTTTGGGTACAGTTGTTTTACTGACATCGAAATCATGACTAACCTTACGAATAGAAGTGTACACTTCTTCTTCAAAAGCAAGTAGAACATCTAGTTTTGAATCATCATTTACAGAAGGATGACCTGATTTGCGTACATTTTCAATTGTACCAGTTTCTCGAAATTTCTTTTCAATCTTACATACTTCTGACTGCGTTATGCGTCTTTCTGGATATTTTTCATTAAATAAGTTATACACTTCCATCAGAGTTTGCGATCTGTCTCCATAGCCAATCATCATAAGTATTTCAATTCTTTGCTTTACACTTAAATTCATTACTACTTCAAATTAATTCGAGGCAATACTACAGAAAATTCACGAATTAATACAACAGCTACAATCATATTTAACAGTTACTGAATATCAATCGAAATAATGACATTTTACAATAACAAAAAAACTAGCTGCCTAGTTATTTGAAATTAATAAGATATTCTTGTTAGCACGGTTACTGTCAACTACATCAAGGACTACAGTTCGAACATTTAAAATAACGTCATGTTTTTATTACTGGATTACTTTCCCATTGTTGAATTATCAATTATTATTATTATTAAATTAAAATAATTAATTAATTACTACTTTTACTAGATATCAATAAAATTTATTTTCTAAGCGCACATCTTTCAAATTCTGTCCGTTAGACCTCAAGTATCATACCTTTTCGGAATCAGCTCGTTACGGATTTTCTAAAACTAACACCAAATACAGGATGTTGCATTTAATAAATTATCGATGATGTCATCACATCAATATGGATCACTCTGTATAATGAAATTTTGTTGTAAAATGTAAAATATTAAAATTGAAATCGACATGTTTCAAGTTTTTGTAAAATGACCTTTTGTTTTGGAATTATCGAATATATTCCATACTTTGCAGACACACTGCATAATTTACTTCACTCTTACTCAAAAAATAACACTATTCTTGTTACATTTATTCATTTCTTTCATTTTTTGTAAACCGACCTTTGGTTTTGGCGATATCAAATTTATTCCATACTTTGCGGACACACTGTATGTTAAACTGAATCATTTCATTTTGCATGACTTCCGGGTTTTGCCGTGGTCTTCTTTGGTAACAGTCTCGAAACTTTTCAACTGAACGTCAAAAAGAGTACTTCGACCACACTACTGAAGATTACTGCCGCAGTTGTAGTTGATTCGTTTGGAAATTGTAGGTAACCAAAGTAAACCACAGCAAAACTCGGAAACCAACCAAAACATTGAAGCTAGCCGTAAAAGTTTCAATTTCGTCAGTATTATTCAATATCCAATTTTGTAATGTTTTTTTGCTGTTGAACTCAACTTCGTAATTTCTCGCGGAATTACATTGTAAATTTCACAACTAATACGAGTGCATATGAAGTGTTGTTGCATTACATGTACAGTTGCTCTACCTAGCAATTTCATAAACTACACCTCACGATTTGATCTCCACAAACCTTTATTTGAATGTTAGCGAAGTATGTCGTGATATATTTTTCAAATGAAGGTTTTTGGAGATCAAATCGTGAGGTACAATTAATGAAACTTCTACAGATCTTCATCAAGTAACGGCCGAATCAATCAGAAAAGTATACCTAGCAATTTTAAAGCATTTATATATTCATATACCGATGTTGCAAAATGTGTTTCATGTAAAAGGTATTGATTTTATAGAATGTTTGTCTGAAAGTTGAAATGACATTTTTTTCTGAATGAAACTTCTGATGGATATCTGATTTTTTAATAATTTTTATTATGAACTGCAAATATCGCAACAAATTTGTTTTCAACTAATCTATTTGAGAGTTAACGTGTACCTTAACTCAAACTTTCAAATTTCAAATGGAATATTAGTGAGGCTTTGTTGATGCCTAAAACGTTCCTGATGACTATCAACCTTTCTTCAAGGTTTTCTTTGGCACTCTTTTCCTTTGGGTTCTGTAAAAACAACAACATTAATTGGCAGTATTATAGCTACCAGCTTTTGATTATTATTGATTCAAAGTTGAGAATATAATTTGAATTGATTTTAGAAAATTTGATTACCTGAGTCGAATTATACCTATATGTCAAATAACTTATTCTAAAAACACTTTATTGTGTGATTTTCAGTAGACAGTTTTACAAAAACGCAACACGTGTTTCGCCATACAATGGCTTTCTCGGGCGTGTCTTAATGTCTCAATTAAATAATAATAATGAAACTATCCAGTGAAAATTACATAATAAAGTGTTTTTGGAATACGTTAGTTATGGATTTTCATCAAATATCGGCCGATTCCATAATATACAGGGTGTAACTAAATAACTTTAAAACATTCAAGGAGGTGATTTCTCATCGAAAAAAAGATTGGATCTTTCATATAAAGAGATTTCATTGAAGCATCCCTTGTTAAGATACTGCCCGTTAAAGGGGGTACATAAAATTTGTATAACATTTTTTTAACAACCACTAAAAAAGTTACAATATTAAAATTACCCTTACGTTTTGTACTACCAAAAAGACACTCAGCCAGAAATTTATTTGGTTTACCCCATGGTTTTAAGGGGTGGAAAAAGCAACTCCTAAAATTTATTTCCAATGTAACTTTTTGTCTTATTATTTTTTTACCATTTAGAAATTTTTTCCGATAGCCTGTTTCATTCTGAATAAAAAATATCTCTTGGATTTTTTGCCCAAAATGAAACAGTTCGCAGCAAAAAATTATTTTGGGAACATCTACAGATATACATCGTCATAAATGCGAAAATACGAAACTAATCTATCTAGCGATCTATCTAGCTATTAGCGATAGTGATAATTAAATTGGTATGACGCTGTCAGTTTGTGAATTTTAGAAATTGAATTGATACTAATTGTGTGTTGTTATTCTGTTTTTGATTTGTTACTTTAATAATTTACTTGTTATTAAAATGGCATACACAAATAAGGAAATGGCTGATATGCATTACGTTTACGGTCTGTCTCAATTTGATTGAAGAACAACCTACTACCAGTACTAGAAAGATTGCTTTCCAGCTAAATGTTGATCGTATGACGGTGTTTCGGATTTTGATGGAACAACTCTTATACCCTTACCATCTGCAACGAGTACAGGCACTGTTACTGCGAGAATTTCCGAACCGTCTTGAATTTTGCAATTGGATGCTGGAAATGATTAAAAGAAATTGTGACTTTCTGAAGACGTTAGAATTCACAGACGAATGTGTTTTTCATGGGTCAAGATTATTCATTTTATTAATTTCCACATATGGGCTGATGAAAACCCTCACCCTATTGTCGAAACTGATCTTGAAGAACAGTTTTCTCTTAACGTGTGGCTCGGAGTTATTGGGGATGATTTAATTGGGCCTCATTTCCTACCTCCTCGATTTAATGGTGAGGCATACGCTCAATTTTCAAGAGAAGTGCATCCAGTACCGCTGGAGGAAGTTCCTTTGGGCGTCAGAAGGGATATGTTTTCATGCATGATGCATTTGTGTCAAGTAGCATGTCAGCATTCAACTGAAACATATGCAAATCAGTGGATAGGTCGAGAAGGACCACAGAACTGGCCCGCTCGATCCCCGAATCTCAATCCTCTCGATTTCTCTATTTGGGGCCATTCACAGCATTTGGTTCATCGTACTCCTGTTCGCGATGTAAAGGACTCAAGTAACCGCATCATCGATGCGTACAGGGTAATCAGAGAGACTCCAGGAATATTTGAGCGAATACGTGGCTCAATGCGCCGAAGTCTAGATGCATGCATAATGTCTGAAGGTAGACATATTGAACGTTTACTATGATTTCTACATGTTGTGTGTTTTGTTACTAATAAATTAGTTTTGTTTATTACCCTTTAATCGTTTAATGCATGTACTAACTACAAAATAACAATAAATCCAGTTCGTATTTATGACGAGGTATCTCTGTAGTTGTTCGTAAAATAATGTTTTGCTGCGAACTGATTTATTTGGGCAAAAAACCCAAGAGACATTTTTTGTTTAGAATGAAACAGGCTATCGGAAATAAATGTTTGAATGGTAAACAAATAATAAGACAAAAAGTTACATTCGAAATAAATTTTAGGGGTTGCGTTTTCCACCCCTTACAACCATGGGGTAAACCAAATAAATTACTGACAAATATATTTTTGGTAGTACAAAATGTCAGGTTGATTTCAATATTGTAACTTTTTCAGTGCTTGTGAAAAAAAATACATGTACCCCTTTTAGGGGGCTGTATCTTAATAAGGGATGATCCAATGAAGTTTTCTATATGAAATATCCTATATATTTTTTCCGATGAGGAATCACCTCCTTAAATGTTTTACACTTATTCAGTTACACCCTGTATATGTCAAATATCTGCCTTGGCAATATATGGTCTAAACATCTGTGAATCTAACAAATCACTAACTATTTCAAAAAATACCTAACTTTAGATCAAAGAAAACATCAGTACAATAACAAAATTTGTACCTGAGAACTTACCTTATGTAACTTTTTCCTGTTGCTTCACACGGATTATGCACTTTTTGGTACGTTCGGCCAGTTCATGAGAAATAGAGTATTAGATTCGAGAATCTGTATTTGATATCCAGCAGATCACTAGTTCCATAAGAACTATTTTCGTTTACGACTTTCAATATGTTAAAGATTGATTTGATTGATCGGTCAATGTTTCTTTATAGAGTGAAAATGTGGTCACACCAAATTGGAGTCAAATTAACAGACGTCAGTAAAAAAATGACAAGGGATGATAAAGTGAAGTTGGTAAGTGGCATTCATTTTGTAGTTTGTAATTTCTGGAATCATAACATCCATAATCAATATAAATATCTGAGTGGAATCACACGAATTCAATTTTGTTTTCATTTTGTTTGATGGAAGTTTCATTATGGATATTATCTGCTTTTCATCGACGATCTTCATGATGGAGACATTTATCTTCTACAATTTAAAAAAAACAAACCGTAACGGATATTTGTGGAATTTTTTTTTTCCATTAACCAACTGTCGCCTCTGAATGAACAACAGCCCTCAAAAGTCGAAATATGTACAAGTTGGGCATTAACGAGGCCTTACCCTTCAACGTGCGATTTATAGCACATGTAGGTAAAAATCATTCGTTCCGCCCCTCGGCTCGAACCATCCATCCAATCAACAAATCACCCATGCCATATATAGGTCAAACTGGAAGAATGTTCAAAACCCGCATTGAGGAACACAAATATAGTTTTCAGAACGGAAAAATAAATTCCACATATGCCAGTCATCTAATCTCAGAGGGACATGAGTTCAACCATTAATACAAACCCCTCCATTTTCAGAGGAAAGGTTAGAAACTTAACCTGTTGGAGAGTATGAAAATAAACAAATTTGAAAACTCTCATCATCGTATGAACGATCAAACTGAATTGAATAATTCGCCATTATTGAATCTGTTCATTCGCAGGTAAAAATAGTTAGGTATATTTCCAGGTAGACTTTCGAAAAATGTATTGATACCTGACTTTTTCAGGCATATTTTTTCAGGTAGATTTATTACTTAGGTTGACGAATAGGTACTAGGTTATAGTATATAAGGTTGTAATTTGGAAGTAACTCTCAGTTATGCTTGAAGAAGCTATTGTATAGCGAAACACGTGTGGCGGTTTTTGTAAAACCCTTATAGTGAAAATCATAGAATGAACTCTATTGATTTTTTTTTGCCAATAATTCTGCCCATCAGAAAAAGGTGAAGAACTAGAGCCATACTGGTGTTCTCTAATATTTCGTCTATCCAAATTTTGCACCTTTCCGTATCATTTCTCTGAATGTGTAGCTCATTACGATCAATTTCTAATGAGCTGATCCTTGTCTCCTAGCTTGTTGTTCATTGGCAATTATTTTCTTTTCGTTCCATTTAACTCGATGTTAGCTCGTCTGATTTTAATTTTTTTTTTAATTTTTATTCTGTTAATCGTCTATTTTTCATATGACTCTGAAGTTTATTTTCACGTACTATTGATTGTATTGAGGTTTCACCAGAATAACTTCCAGCACAAGAACAAGGTATCTCCGGTGTAGTTTTCATTTTCATCAAATTTGAGAGAAAACTGGATTACTTTGCATGACTTCTGTTCAAAACATAATTTCCATTTTTGAAATCGATTGCAAAATATTTCATTCATTATAGAGTTTCAAAAGTCTTGAAAACAAGTTGAAAAAAGAAGATGTAGCTGATATTGTAGGAGACATAGCACTAGACATAGAAAAAATGATGCTCCAGAAGCAATACGCTGTATTGGTGAGTATGAACGATACATAAAAGTGAATTTGAAAATAATTTTTTGTAATTTCAACATTGAATAATCAACCTCTCTCATATCATTCGACGTTGATCAATCAATTGACTGTTGATTTTTAAGAATATACTTAGGTTGGGTCCAGTGTGGAAGGGTCTATTCGACCCTCCACCACAACTTGCAAGGATTTATTGTGGCTCACACCTATTCACACTCGACCAAATAAAACCAGCTTCTTAACGAAGCCGATTAGTTTGAGTGGTCTTTCAGGTCAGATGGTAAGAGTACGGCTCTGCCGAACTCTAGAAACGTGATTCGGTCTCAGCGAGGCAGGCACAAAGTAAATGCTCTGCTGTTCCATCGTTAATGAGGTAGTCAGATAGTCAAGGTGCAAGATCGCTACCTTGATACCCGCGACAACCTTTCCATGTGAGAGTTTCTGCACATCAGCTACACCTGACGATGCCTTAGATTCAACCGTACAGGGCTTTTTCGCCTCTGGTTTTGGAGAATCATCACTTGAGCGCAAACGTTTGCTAACCTGCGCATGGGGGTTTGTTCCTCCACCTGAGACAGATTCTGCGTACGCCACTCAAGAATTTGGTGCAAGGCTGTTTCACAAGATACCCTCCTCTTGAGGAGTCGACTCAGTCGTTTCCTGGCTGCAACACCAAACCTTTTTTAGGTTCATTTGTTGGATCAGGAGTTGGAGAGTGGAGAAGTTCTCGCTCTTGATCTAAATTTACAGGGAGGTCAGTTGAAGTCGTAATTTCAACATCCATCTCCTCTGTAGACTCGCTCCTGATCTTAATTTACAGAAAGTCCAATTGGAGTCGTAAGCTAGACATCCATCTCCTCTGTAGACTCAGTGTCAGAAAGAATTTTTAAGTTAACTCTGTCCAAAAAAGTCCCATGACTAGTCAAGGAAAGAAGGTCAATCACGGCAGAGTCCCGCATTACCGTGACAAGGCGATGCTACGACGAGAGGGTACCCGGTATCTCGAAGGTTCCAGAAAGACAGCTGATAGCTCAGTGTCTCTCGGCACGTATAAACACACCTCAGGATTAAGCCTCCTCCCCAACCTCCATATCCTAATCCAATGCACTCGCCAAAAACAGCATGCACAGTGGTTCAGGCAGTGAAAGATGAACAAGTACAGACAATCCGCTAAAAAGTATATAGTATTCAAATATTTCAATTTTTCGAAAACTGTTCTTCACAACCATTCGTCAATTATTGCCTGATTACTATGGAAATAGGAAAAGTGATCTTCAAAGCAAGCACTTTTCCCAGTCATCCTAAATGCAAAAATTTTCTCGACGCGCGTCTCACCAATCATATTGGCCTCTTCAGAAAATGAAGAAGATGATAAGTTGGTTGGTGAAAAGCGTTTCAGGATTCAGCTTTTTTGTTAGATTCCAAGTTGTCACACATTGTAACATCGAGTGGTAAAATACCATTATCATTCGCCTCCTGTTGAATACTACATTTTAATCTTAATAATATCATCAGCCTCCTGTAAATAACTGTTTTTTTTTCAGAAAATTTCGGAGTATGCTGAATTTCTCTCTTATCATAGAAGTGACCAACCAATCTTCGAAAACTCATCCTATCACTTCTACAATGCAGACAACCTAACTAGCACGGAAGACTATCCAGAAAGAGAAACGGAATTGATCGACGAAATTTTAACAGTAATTTGATGAAAAATTCATAAACAATATATCAATTTTTTTCTCACAACTTATTTTGATATTGAAACGTTTTTTCCGGGTGTTTACCAATGATTGACTAAAGTGTACAATAATCAAACTCAATTTTATTGCACTGTTAATATAACAAAATACACATCAACTAAAACTTTAACTATCATTCAAACGTCTATCGCTTTGTTAGATCCCTCTGTACTGCACTGCCCGCGAAACTTCACTATATCAATATGCTCGTAGGTAGCGTTAATAAGCACATGACAATTGAAGCCGATAGCAATATTCTCGAAGCAACGCCACTTCTAGAACGGCCGCGAGCGCACGTTGAGTTGAGTGGGTCACAATTGATTCATGACGACCAGCGGCGGCTGATGTTATTTTTTCAGGGGATGATTCACAACAAAATACATGGCGAATCAACGGAATTTCACCACCCTCATAACTCAGAAACAGACGGTCAAACAAAAAACTCAGAGAAGAAGTCAATAATTGATTCAAATGGGTCTCATTTATTTCGATATTGTACGTTTCGTTCAAAAAACATTTGAAACCTCCTTCAGTTCATTTTCAAAAGCGGTGCTGTGATGAAAGTTCACTTTATTGGCCTTTGTCAGAGGCCTCGGTAGAAGAAGCTACTGTGGTGGCGAAACGCGCCTTGAAATAAAATGTTTGTGAAAATTGTTTAGTTTTCTGATCGATTCGGTCGTTACTTGATGAAGATCCATTGTAATTTTATAAACTCCACCTCACGGTTTGATCTCCACAAACTTTATTCGAAAAATATATCACAACATGTTTCGCTAACACAGTAGCTTTACCAACAGTGATTTGAATAACTGTAGTTTGTGGAGATCAAATCGTGTGGTGTAGTTCATGAAATTGTTCAGTTATTATCATGAAGACAATTTCACACAGAGGACTGATAAATCTGATCGAAAAATGTTTTTGAAACATTGTCAGTTGAATATATATATCCATCTCTGTTTGGTGGAATACAGTTAAAGGTTTGTTACTTGATATGCTGAAAATAATATATTTTGAATTTTCATGTCAACGTATACTTTAAAACAGATTCAGTAACGTTCAGTTTCAAGAAACGTTTTTATATCCAATGTAAGGTAAAACGTTTATTGAAAGAATTTGAAAAATACCACATCATGTTTCTCATATGTACTCATTTTTCTAGAATGAATGCCACTGGACATGCGAACAACCAAATATCTCCAAGTTGACAAATAATATATTCTCTAGTTACGAAAGAAGAAAAAAGTTATTCGAACAGAGACGAAATGAGAGAACTAGAGAATGCAATTGCGACAATTTGCCAGAGAAAGAGCAACCACCACTGCACTATTTGGATCTCCCTCTGAAATATGATCCCAAATTCGATAGCGAAGTCAATTTGAAGCTCAGTATAGCCAAATTAGCCTTGAATGTCTACCAAAGAGGTAAGAATTTTTTTTAGGATTTTGTGAAACTTTCAGTATTTGGTAGTGGAAAGTAACATCAAACTAACGGGCCTTGGAATCAACAAATGTGGTGTTGAGTTATTAGATGGATTATATTAATATTTTTCATTCTGTTTGTGGAGCACAAAGTCGAGCCAGGTCTAGTGTTGATGATCCCAAATGACGACCAGGTAGATATGAGCATCCGCATGACACCCCAAAAGAATCAATATTTCCCACCAAATCATCTTCACCACCAAATCATCTTCATCATTTTTTTCGAAGAGCTTTCACCTACAGCAAGCATTGGAGTCGGCTAGTGCCGATGATACCATTGACATTGAAAATATTTACCTAGAGTATTCTGAGGAAGATCACATTCAAAGGAAATCCCTTGGCTTCTGCGAAAAGATGTCAGAAAAATGTAGATTGGTTATTCTACGAAGTGGAATACTATAATAATACTATATTAAAAAAGGAAACAAAGACATAGTAACTATGGCGACTCCAAAGATCAATTTCCAATAAACAACCAAATGCGTCGCAACGAATATTATGTGAGCGAGGCGTGACTCGGCTGGTCTGTATCGGAACACTACCCTGTCAGGGAAACACTCTCTACAAATCACACACTCCAAAGAGAATGCCAAGGCCCATTTGGCACTTCTTCGGCCACACTTTCCGGTCATTGATGACAATCTACACCAACAGGGTTGCTCAAGAAGTTACGCCATTCCAGTGTTTTCTATTTCACCCCTCAGGATCGTTCATTTAGGCCCTTTTGGCACTTCTCTTCTGGTCAAGAACTAACAGGGATGCACAAGAACTCACGTCATTCCATGGTTCTTGAGGGCACATTTAAGCCTTTATGGCACCCCTACAGCTAAGGGTTGAGAGAACTCGATGAACTATATCTAGAACCGCAGTTAGATAACTACTAACATGCTGTATGAACCTTTTACATAGGTAAAAAGTTTTAGCAAAACAAAATCATTCGTGTGCACCACATTCAATTGGCAAATATAAAAATATTATGTTAGAAAAAATCTAATAGATAAAAACAGCAGAATTGCTATCCACTCTGGAAAATTGTGGTGGTGCCTGTTTACTTTGAGGGTGCATGTCACCATGCAAAATGCCTGGTTCATATACAAAAGAGTCGGAAATATCAACACGCAACTTATTTTTGTTATCACATATCTCGTGAGGTATGAAAGAGCAGCAGAATGATGAGAAAGCCCAATTCCTGGTTTTCCGGGCAAATCAAAAACACAACAAACAAATCGTTGGAAATGACTGTTTGGATCATTTCTCAATCCATGTTTCTAGCAAAAAAAATAGGATGTCGTCGTTGGAAACGTGAGGAACACATTTGGTGTAGCTGATTTTATAGATTGAACTATGAATTATCACAACAAAATAATATAAGTAATTTTTTTATAACAATAGAAAATTAGCAAACTGTGCCTTCAATACATTTCAGAACCTACCCAAGCTTTGCATATATGAAACAAATTTTCCAAATACTGAAAATGATTTTCGATAACTCTTTCAGAAATGAGCTTATCAATAACGAACAAACCATACAACAGTATGGATTCAATAATGATGGAGCCAAAGCATCTAATAGAAATACTTGAATAATCATAAATTGTTATACTCCAATCAATTGTTTATTAAAAATATGTAACATTATTCTACTCTGCCAAAAACTTGACCTAAAATATTATTTGTTGGTAGTAAAGCCGTTTTTTCAACAAAAATCATTAATTTCAAATTATATAGTATAGGACAGTAGTCGACGACAAAAGTGAAAAAGTACTTGTCAATTTCAAAACATCAAAACTGTGAATATCTCGAATGAAAACGATTCACAAACGTACCAGTATGCATGCTGACATTTCGAAAATACGATACAACTCAGTTCATTACCTCCGACAGAAGGTGCAACAAAATAATATATTGGAAGAATCAACTTGCAAGTACAAATAATACTCTGATACCTCAGAAAGGATGAAGAATGAATATGTTTCGATATCATATGTTGTTCTGATATCATATGAATATTTGTTTCCTCTGCAGAAGAGTTCTTGTATTCAGAAATGAAACAAAAATGGGAAACCATCATCAGAATCAGAGTTGTTGTTTCAGAAGACTTCGATAGATTGCCAGTTCAATGTATCCACTGAAGTAACTATAAACATATCTCGTGTATTTATTCAATTTTCTTTTTTCAGAGCAGCATGTATTGGAAGGTTTGCGGTGGTCAGAAGCTTTGGACTTGGTGTTCAAAGAAAATCTTGCGAATGATTCTTCTCTGACATGGCAATATTTCGCGAGTCCGAAGGGATTCATGCGACACTTTCCAGGTAACGTTGATATCGTTCACCTCTACAGATTCTCTGAATTTATTGGTTTATTTTTGACCGTTCTTATTTATTTGGGACTGACCTGATGGAAAATCAAAAATATGCATTTGTCATATGATGGTTTTGACCGATACTTGATGAAAATCCATAAGTTATTCAAAAACCACTTCATTTTCATATTTTTACTGGACAGTAAACAAAACTACAAAACGTGTTTCATAATACAAAAGCTTCCTAAACAATACAATACACTATACATATACAGTACCAAGTCAGATACAATAATTCATTTGTTATTCTGATTAAGGTATACATTCCATCTGTCACAATGATTTGGTGAGGCCCAGTTAATGAATATTCTCAAGGAAAAGCACTATATACAAGGTGGGCCATCGAAAACTTGACATGGAGGTTTTGGGTACTAATCTTGCAAATCCTAAAAAACACTCAGGCAGGTCGATTTTTATTGGGAGGGAGACAGTTTTTTTTCTCCATTTATAGCGTCATCACTTCAATCCCGGAGCAGAAGAGTGAATAACCTTTGGAATTTTAATAGGGAACTGGAGGCGAGTCGCACATCGTTTGAAATATCTTGGAATTCCCTAAACAATGGTGTACATTTTTTTTATTTGGACGAACCATACTAAATTTAGAGTTGATATTACTTACTTTATTCTCATGTTAGCATATGCTCAAAATTGGCATCTCCAGCTCCATGCAATAATAGAGATGCTGCTGGAAACGTTTTCGAACATTGTGAAGCATTTCTGAAGTGATTTGGCGACATTCATTTGTTATTCGTTGCCGTAAATATTCGAGTGATGCACAGAAATGATCCCACAGAAAAAAATCTAACGGCGAAAGGTCTAGTGATCGTGGTGGCCATTCGATATTGCCCCGCCTCCCAATCCAGTGATCCGGAAAAGTCTGATCTAAATACTGCCGAACAGGCAGAGCATATTGCGGAGGAAATATTGTTGAAATATTATCAGATCCTTCCGATAATTGTGGTCATTTTCAATAATACCAGTGAGAAGGGGATTAATAGTATCTTCCAGAAGTTCCAGATCGATTCGTCCGATTAAATTGCCTTCTAAAAACAATGGGCCAACAATACGGTCACCAAAAATTCCAGCCCGTACATTTCATTTTTGTGGACGTTGAGTATGCACTTTATGGAAAATGTGAGGAATTCAATTAGCACAATAGCGACAATTATGGCGAATAACTGTGCTATTTAGAAAAAAATTACATTCATCACTAACGCAAGAGTTGAAAACAAAATGAGAAATAGAAACAGCATTATTAACCATTACACAGTTGTAATAGTCCTCTTATCAAAGAAGAACTAAGAAATGAACAAAATAATTAGCTTAAGAAACAAATGAAAGAGTTCCAAATACATTTCAACTAAACAGCGGCGTACAACAATTTGTTGCTATTGACAGTATTGAAAAAGTTAATTATAGTAAAAAACTCCTTTGAATACGTCCAAATTGAAGAAGATTCACACCATTGTTTAGAGAATTCCAAGATCTTTCCAACGATGTACGACGCGCCCCCTATTCCCTATTACAATTCCAAGGGTTGTTCATCCCTCTGCTACGAGGTTGGAGTGAAGACGCTGTAAATGGCCGGCCCACCCGATATAAATCTGGAAAATTAGGAGGCATAAACGAAATATTTGCATTGCAGTGCTATCATTTTATGATTCAAAGATTTTGGGACGTTTGAAAACTTTCATCAAACTCCAACAACTTTGGTCCGTTAACCTAATGAATGGACGATAGTAGATTCACATATCACTCTCAAGGTTACACAGTATATCATTGGTATTAGTATCAGAATTCCATTGAAATATCTTGGTGATGGTAAGATTGAGGAAAAATATGGATGTTGGTGTCAGTTTGTCGAATGAGTTCCATATTATTACTAGAAATTGAACTGAATTTCGTATTTATTGGAACCATGATATTGTTCAATGCTTTCAGCAATCAAGTGGTCTGACGAACAATATGATAAAACCTACGACTTCCGCACAAGAACATGGTACACCGAAGCGTTCACATCTCCCAAAGATATCATTATCCTCCTGGATAGATCGGGATCGACTAAAGGAACGAGGAGAGCTGTGGCTATACAAGTTGTTAATCAAATTCTCGATACTCTCAATGACAACGATTTTGTTAATATTTACACTTTCACCAACACTACGGAACCCCTTGTGGAATGCTTCAATGACACTCTTTTTCAGGTGAGTGTTTAATTGTTCCAAAGTGAGACTCATTTTTATTTGAGGCTAATTAATGAAAAGTCGGAATCTTGAAATATATATAAACTGTATAGAAGCAGAACGGAATATCAAGAAGGACAGTTAATTGAACAGTAAAGTGAAAAATAAGATAATTTTGCTGCTGAATGAGTTGGAAAATCAGTATTTTCAAAGAACTCTCTTGTAAAGAAAGTTGAAGGTGAATCTGAAATCAACTTCAGGAGTTGAAGTTTAAGCGGCTCGAAATTTTGAGTAGATTGAACGGAATGACGATGATCTAGCGTGCAATGGTGTCAGCTTTAAGCAAATGGTGTTTTTAGCGGCAGCGCCACCTACCGCAGGCGCTGCCGCGATAGTTTGCAGCGCCACCTATCGAAAACACAAAGACTGAGTTTCAAGTAGACTTTGACATATTTGTATTATGGAATAATTTTTTCTGAATATTTTTGACCAACATATTTGTTTTTGTATACTTTTCTTAGTGTTTTTTCTCCAGAAACAGAACATTTTATCGCAAGTAGTGATTCCTCCAGACATAACTGGAAATTCAAATAGTTTGACAAACGCAGTAGATTGTTCTGTTCCAGATTCGATTGATGACAACTCATTTCAAATATATTAGGCCTCGCAGACTCGATTGGCAGGACTGTTCTGATTCTAGGTTATTGTTTGCTGGTCCAGAGAAGGATCTGTTTGGATGCTACGTAATTTTTTGTTGATGTAATCATCCTCAGGTCTCAGCGTCAGTCAAAATATAGTAAAACCAGTAACTGAAACTTGATATGAGTGTTCACCTGATAAGTTATATTCTACTACTCTGAACAAAGAAGGTGCAGTTATATAAGTTTTATTGTCGGCACAGCTATCTTATATAAGAGTACTGATGTCAGCTGGTCAAATCTCGTAATCTTAGTACAAAGTGATCTCAGAAAAGTATTCAATTGGATTAGACATAAACAATTAACAGTTTACTCATTCTTCGAATGAGCTATAAAAATACATTACCAACGTTCAATACTATGGAGATAATTGAAGACTTCAAAGATGAAGTTGGTAATATCAGGAGAGAATATATGTATACAAATAAAATTTGAAAATAACATCAAATATCTTTGATTATATGTAGACTTGCATCTCCGCTGGAATTTTTCTCCGTATAGTATTCCCGTTGAGAGTGAATTACTGAAAATTAGGCAAGTATATGTTCACGATATTTTAATTTATGTTCGTAAAAATGAAAGTATAATTATTAAAATCGAAACAAACTTTTATAAATTTCGTCCCAGAAAAACAATAAGCGAGCATTTTCATGTATACATGCCAACAAAAATTTAAAAGTTTTTGTCGGAGATCTGTGAAATATATGTGAACAGAGCCAATTCATTGAATTTATATAAGATAATGAAATCATTCCTTGGCATCACACATCGAAACGCAATTCACAATATATTTCAATTTTAATACAGGTATTATTAACGAGCTGTGCGTTTTTAGATTTTTGTGTAGATATGTATAAGCGTATTTACATAATCAGTACTCACGACTGGAAGGTGGTTAGTTCGATCCCAACCTGGACCAGATATTTTTCTCGAAATAATTTATTTATTTGAAGGTGAAAGAATTCTGCAACATTACATGGCTGACGGACTGCGAATAGTCATGATGCTCCCTAGGTGGTTTGGGGAGGTAAAAACGCGGCCTACCCAGGACACGAGGCTAATGACCGATGTAATCGATGCCGATGATACCGAGAAAAAAAATCAGTATTGTATTATTCTGATATACATGAAAGCACATAGATAATAGTGTTCAATCATCGAGGGAAGTCCAACCGGTGGGCTCTACTACGATATGTTTGATGAAATCATAGACCCTTCAATAACAAATCATTTGGTAAATCAAATCGACACTAGGATCAACACTCTAGGAAACAAGCAATTCCTCCTTTTTGCAGCCATACCATACACTAAAACCAGTTGTGCTGAGGAAAATATTGTCTTTTGCCACAAAATCGTTGATGATAAACGGAGAATATTACTTTGTACTTTTATGGCTCAATCCCACTTAATGGGTGGTTGGAGTTGCTCAGTCACTATGGTATCTGTAGAAAAGTATTGTTCTAAGCATAGTGCTAAGGACTGAAGTAGAAATATGATCTCAGGAAGTGTGGTCTAGCTGCCCCTCTGGTAGAGGAAAAGTGACCAAGTTGGAGTTTGACTCCACCAAAGACCGTAAGAAGGCATTATATCTCAACTTGTGAAGGTCTGTTGTGTACCGAGTTGCTTGGAAATTGGTCAAGAAAAGTTTCTCCACGGCCTCTACAATCTCCTTCGGTGACAGTGAGGCAAGATTACTAGAAGATTTATTTCTTGACGTTGGGGTTCGCAGTGATCAAGTTGACCGACCATTCCACCTTCTCCCATAGTACTGCCTCCAAAAAAATTGTGAAGAAAGAGAATCTCAGTAACTGCCGACAACTTTTTTGTATAGGCCTATTCAGTAATGTGAAAAAAGAAAACAAACATAAAAAAACCAACTATTCACTCCTACGATACTAGAAAAAAAAAGGAAATTCTACACCATGTTGTAACCATGTAGAACAAAGAAACGCAACATATCTCGGACCACACTTATACCAAATATCCCCAGAAAAAAACTAAAATATGAACAGTTCTTACATGTTTAGAAGAGAAGTGAAGACATCATTCTGATTACTGAAAGAGCTTTTTTTACTGACACTGTCAATCAAACTATTCCAAACAGCAATTCAACCTGAGCAATTGTTAAGTAGACGAAAGTAACTATGTTTTCTGTCGGTAACTACTGTTTCTGTTATTGGAGTTATTGACTGATTGATAGTTTTCAATGTTATATTAACTATTTATACACCTGATTAAAAATAAACTCTCATCACGAAGAAACTATAGATTTATATGGCTTCTATGATTTTCTTGTTCATTTTCGTGTGATAATTGGGTGTGATAATCATGTGCCCTGAGCAAGCGCAGTGGGCCAAAAATGATAGCCTTCTGCATCTGTTCGGCTAATATTTCTGCCTCAGTGCGGCAAGCCTGTATGACTTTAAGATACGAGAATAGAGAAGGCATCATTCCACCAAGAACCCCAATAATCAGAACAACCATCTTGACAGATAGAGTCTGCCGAGTTCGAAGAGAAAATCTCGATATTTCATCCGTTTTTTGTTCACTTTTCGGACGATATTCGTCTCGCCAGGAGCTGAAAACTCCACGACAAATATCGTTTTGGTCTGGTAGTCGAGAAGGACTACATCAGGCTTATTAGCTTGTATGAGCCTGAGGATGGGGAACGAATAGTTCCAATAAATTCGGCACTTCTCGTTCCCCACAACGGATACAATATCCCTCGGAGCGTAAGAGTGCCGTAGATGGAAATATAGCACTCTTAGGGATGCTTTATGTCGATGGATATAGGTCGAGACCGCATATGTTGGACATGTTGATAGCAAGTGCATTGTGTCAGGAAACTTTATACCCATCACGCGACTGCGGTGGACTAAGGTGTTGAAGACACCATCCTGGCAAGCCATGACGAACCCCTCAGTTTCAGGTTTCAGCCCAATCGAACTGAGTAAAGGTCTTCAATGTTATTGAAGAAGACCCTATACATTGGCTTATCCTTGTATTTCCGCGGAAGTGAGGTGATTTCTACGGCTTTTATATTAGATTTTTGCTGAACGGGTTCCAACTCTGTGACAGAGTTGTGAACACCTCGTTCAATGTAGAGAACTAAACCGAGTTCATCAGCTGTTGTCTCCCTGTTGTCGGGAGAAGTACAAACGTGGAACGGACGATTTGGGATGCAAACTCCTACAGAGATGCATCATTTTTCGGGTCTTCACGTCGAGTTGATACAGCTCCTTCCGAGTACATTTCACTACTCCAAATGAGTGAAGTAAGATTGAAACGGCAAGCATATTTGTTGCAGCAACATTGTTTTTCCCCGACAGTTCTGATGACCAGATATGTCGGAGTTTGTGCTTATACTTGCCGCGGAGAGAGTTCTTCACTGCTGTTACCTCTTGTGAGTGGTATTGTTCCACCCCGAGGTAAGTATATATACGTCTCTCCGGCATCCTAATGGTGTATGGTGCTTCCATACACACTGTGTATGGTGCACTGTGCTGCACACTCTCCGTAGTCCCCGATCGTCCTCTTTTGAAATGGACTATTGCACATTTGTCTATTCAGAATTTCATACCGATAGCATGCGTATACTCTTCAAGGAATGATGGAGATCCTTCTCACCTCTCACCATCCGTATTATTATTATACTAAGATTGAACTTCACCTTCCTAGTTTCTTTCAGTTCACGCTAAGTTACCGAACAGCTATATACTGGAGGTATATAGTTGGAGGTATATATAGTGATACTCACTTAATCAATTTTTTCCTCGGGTTAAAAAACTTAAGATCTTCTCCAGTATCCCAGATTCGTTTCGACTGTTTCTGTATCCAATGAGCACTGTAGGTTTTGTTCTCTGGCATATCATAAACTTTGACCTTTTTTGAAAGAACCTACCTTACCACTTTAGAAATTTAACATTTGATTTTTTCAGGCCAACGAAGAAAATTTGCGACTGTTGAGGGAATATCTACCAGTTTATGAAGAAGAATTTGCCGCCAATTTATCTCTTGGGATCGAAAAAGCATTCGATATATTGGAGAATTTCAGACACACACAAAGAAGTAAGTTAGATTTCTAATGAGTGATACTGATTATTCACTTTCATTGTTATTGAAACGTGAAAAAGGAATCTCTGGCGTAGATTAAGTATGAAACGCTTTTCCCAAACACCAGAGATACGCGTTTCACCAACCAAGTTGGCGTCTTCAGGAGATGAAGATGGCGCTACCTGAATTTCGAGTGAGTGAAAAAAGTGTTTTTGCTTTGATTACCATTTTCACATATACATACGAGGTCTGTGAATGGTGACATTTCACGAGCTACCTACATTCAATTAACGATATTTTCATTTTTTATATCTGTATTATCGTCTCGAATATATGTTCACAATTTTAGCTATATAGCATGTTCAGTTTGTTGGTGAGAGAAAAGTGTTAAGCGTGTTTGGCGATTTTTTGCTATAGAAAAAAGTGGATCAGAAAATTAGCATAAAATTTTCTGTATGAAATGGAGGTGACTTCAAATACACTTGAAATGTTGACAGTGTCATAAGGTGATTATACTCTCAGTTAGAAAAATGTTAACAAGTGTTTCAAGCTTCCCATAGATGGTCGAGAAGATGTGAATGACGACATTCGCTCTGGACGCCCAAGCACATCAGCAACCGATGGAAACGTTGAGAAAGTGAAGCAAATTGATACGAAGAATTGTTAAATCACTATCAGAGGAATTATTGAGGTAATTATTATATAGGTTGGCTCATGCCATGAAATGTGTGCCATGAAGGGTGTGGCAGCGAATTTCGTTCCTAAATTGTTGAATTTTATCCACAGAAACCGTCTCATGAGCATCGCTCAGGTTATGACAGGTATATGGTTATGACATCGAAACCAGAGTCCAATAATCCCAATGGAAGAGCCCAGTTCAAAAAAAAAGTTCGATCAAATATCAGGGTTTTGTTTACTCTGTTCTTCGATTACTATGACACAGAAGTTCTTTCCACATGGTGGTGATGTCAACAAGGAGTATTAATTATATTGGAGTTATGCGCCACTTGCGAAAAACAATACGAAGAAAACGTACGGTATTGTGGAAAACCAATCTTTGACTTTTGCATCATTATAATACACCTGATGATACAAATTATGAACACCTTGTTCATAATATTTTGGCCAAAAGCAACACCATAATCATGCCTTAGCCACCGTATGCACCAGATTTAACCCCCTGCGACTTTTTTTGTTACCAAGACTGAAGAAACGCATAAAAGGACGGTTTTTTGCGACAATTAAGGAGATGAAAACAGAATCGCTGAGATACTTCAAGAACATATCAAAAAATGTATATCAGAACTGCTTTGAAGATTGAAGAAAACGTTGGCACAGGTGTATCGTAATCAAGAAGGACAAAATAAAAGTTTTTGAATGAATGAATATTTTTCATGAAAATGAAAATTTAGACCTCGTACATACATAACATGAGATAACATCACATAACATTACAATTTCTTTTTCAATAGCAAAAGTGATCTTGCCTATAGGTTTTAAATTTGATATCATGATTAGTCAAACAGGACTTAGGCTGGTATGAAACCATTCCTGTATGACAATTCATCAATTTTTTGATTGATTCGGCCGTTACTTGATGAAGATCCATAGTAATTTCACAAACTTCACCTAAACGATTTGATCTCCACAAACTTTATTGAAAAAATATATCACAACCTGTTTCGCTAAACATTAGCTTTTTCAAGTGAATAATCATTAATCAAGTGATTAATTTATTTTTTCAATAAAGTTTGTGGAGATTAAATCGTTTAGGTGTAGTTTGTGAAATTCATGAATTGATACAGATGACAAATGCGTGGTTGTCAAAAACATACAAAGAGATAAAAAAAGTAGAAAGCACTAATTGATTATAAAAAATATTGATGGTGAATATTTCAAGTTTTTCCATTCCTTTCCTGAAAATATTTGGAATTTCATGAAGTCATTACAGTTTTTCATTCGTTCAGGCAATTCATTGAAAGTCGAAAGTGAATATACAGTGCATTTTTTTAATGTCCCCCCTTGAACAGCTCAACTCAAAAAATATAAATTTGGGATAATGAAGTTAATGCATAAATACTTTATTTTAAGGTAAAATTGACAAATGAAACTTTCAAGATGGCGACTGGACGCCATCTGGGAAAAAATAGAAAGGGAAATCTTGTGATACATCTTTTTGAAGCTCCTGACAAATGCTTCACAACCCTAAAATATAATGTCAAAGTAGTTGTTTACAGCTGATTCTCGGCCTCCCCCCACCACTATGACGTATTAATTGCTTTTTTTATTGGTTGTTGTTTGGTGAAGTTTTTTTGTTGTGCAGTGAAGTCAAGGCATTGTGACCTTGAAGTGTCTGGTGCATGGATCGTTCAGATTTTTTTTTCATATGAGA